AAGAATTTATTGTTAGTTTGGGGTATGGTTGGAGTCTCGCGAATCGGAATTCGCGACAGTATTTATGATATATTATTTTTGTATAATGAATCATTTATCTAATCTTTGAATTAAACAATTTTTATGAATCATGTTCATATTGTTATAAGTCTACATCGAGGTATTTGTGCTACAGAACGTTTTGATTTGATAAAAATACTTCCTGTTTTCCCGACACAATTGTTTCCCGATAGCAAGACAAAAAGTAAGTCCTTCATTTGCTAATAATCGTCTTCAAACTCACTGTTAAAAATTCCGAAATAATTAAAGTATTTTTGTATTAAATACACAATGTAGAAAAATGTAGTGTAAAGGTAGTCTTGTTTGAATATTGCCAAGTAAAATGTTTCGATGTCTAAGTACTGAATTATTTGTCCAGCTTTATTGATCCGAATCCAACTCTTTTTAATTGCAATATCTAATGTTGCGGACAAGGCCCTTTGTTGTAAATTTCCTCCACTCTGTTAATCAAGCGTGCATGCAATTGCCGGAATGTTGCAAAGAACCTCCAGTTTGTGTCTGGAGTGTTAAACCATTCTCATATATAAGAGCTCGGGCAAGTCATTGAGATCGCTGTGACTCAATCCGACAGCTTGATAGTGGCTCAATTGACAATTCGGTCCATTTAGTCAACTCCACAATCTTCGGTCATTAACTCAACCGTACAGTCAGACCCAGCTTACAGCCCCTTTATCAACTGTGCGCTCCGATTCGGTTACCACAAATTCTCCCTAAATATTGTTACAAGAACCCACAAATCCGTCCAGTGACCAACTCTATCTGCATATTTGTCAATATATGTTTCATTGTCTAAAGGAAGAATATTCCATAATCAAAAAGCTTTTCGCACAACTGTTCCTCGTCGTGCCAACCAAAAAACAACGAGAACTTTTTCGACAAAACTGAAATCTCGCAATACCCATCACTTTTCCATCCATAGGTCGATGTTGTTGGTGCTAGAGAGGAATGAAAAAGTGGATCGATCGTGTGGTATTTGTAAAATAGAAAAGCCGGAAAGCAGGAAAGGAAGCATTACTCTCCTCCCCGATGATTCTCAGAAACATCCGACAGTCATCTGTCAATATCGCATTTTCGTATATGCAAGACTTTTGCTCTAAATACAAACTGATACCAGAAAATGTTCGCTGGTGACTGTCAATCGGTTTTGAAGATAATGTTAGAGTGTGGGATGAGAATGAACTTTTAATTTGGAATCGTTTGGCATTGTTCCTAATTTAGGCTTTCCATAGTCATTGTGTTCGTGTCTATTTATACTCCT